AAAGAGAAGAGTGTACTGGGGGGCAGGGGTGGGCAGGGAGGAAAATGTGTACCAATGAATGAATGGAAATTCAAGTTCCTTATAAATGTACAATAAAATCTCAATTTTTAAAAAATTTACCTAAATCACATTTTTTTTTAAAAAAAAAGAACAGCTAGAATTCTTAGAACTGAGGAGGGCAGAGACTTCCTCTCATCTGTTCTGGACCTGTTATTGAGAGGAAACCATTCCTGAAACAAGGGCACTATGCTTGATAAAACAGAGTCCGCCGGGAGCCCTGGTGGCCTCGTGGCGGGAAGCTACACTGCCATCCCCAAGACGCACGGTTCAAATCCACCAGATGCTCTGCTGGAGAAGGAGGGGCAGTCTCCTCCTGTACCAGTCGGATCGACCTCGATGGCACACAAGGAGAGAAAAACAAAGTCATCAACAGAGGAAGAGTCTCGGCAGCAGCTTCAACGTTAGGTTCAAGTGCAGCAGAGATGAGGGTAACACTAGACAGGGCAACATTTCCTGCTGTTGTCCACTGGGCTGCTCTGAAGTCAGAACCAGCAACGAAGCACTCAGAATCCAAGAGTCACTCTACACACAGCACTTCTCCTCCTGACCCAGAACTCTTCCCTGCTGATCCTCTGCTCAGGTGACAGGATCAGGATGTTGTCTTCCGCCAGGACAGTCTGCGTTATCTCTGACTTCACCTACCTCCAGACAATCCAGTCACTGAGGAGATCCCAGAGTTTCAGAGCTTACCCTCCAGGGCCCCAAAACGGAAATCAAGTCCTGTGGGCAAAGTTAATTCTTCTTCCCAGGGACACAGCCCGGAGGCGTCTCCACACGCTGAACGCAACACAGAGCTGGGATCCTCTGCTCTCCTCTCAGTCCGCTCACGCCCTTCACTAGGTTAGCATCGACACTGTTTGCTCAGGGAACTGGTACTAACTGAGCCACGTTTGTCTCCATCACCAATTAGTAGAAACCATTACAAGTGGTTAATGAAGATCTCCCTAGGTACAGGGGTTATAAATGGGGAACGGGAACTCTGTGACCCAGGGATACAGAGAACGGGGCGATCTGGTTCAGGGATCACCATCAGCGGAGGACACAGCTCCTAAACGGATGAAGAAGACCCAAGTCCCCCCAGTTCTTCAAACGTATAAACCCACAACGCCCCAGACTCCACTTGCACATCCTTATTCATCAAATGGTCATGGAAACATGTTCTTAAAAAAAAAAACCACACCAACAAAATAGAAGACAAAAATGGAATGGACTATTTGGACACCGATGGACTTAAGTATGGAAGGAAAAAAATAGGTGTATAAAATGTTTTCCATGAGAAACCAAGAAACTTACACTGGTTTGACAGTGGTCAATTACACGTTCCCACAGTTCTAATGTGCCTGTTCACCGTGCCCACTCCTTTCCCCTCTCTACTGGCTGCTGTTTTAAAGTTTGCCCTTCCCCAAATTTGAATTTTTATTACAGATCTAAAGCTCTTTCAATTTTATACTGATTAAATCAGTACTGCAGTATTTGATTATACCAAGCTTCTGCAGATTTTGTGATTCTTGAACTTTTTTTTTTTTTCTTTTCAGCAGTGTGATTCTTGAACTTTTTTGATGTAAGAAATTCTTTATTTATGCATATTCTTTCCAGTGACCCCTCCCCCAGGCATTATTCTGCCATATGCCCTTAGGAATTTTTAAAAATAGGAATTAAGCATTCTGGTATTTATCTGCTTTTGTGTGAAACGATGGTGTAAAAACATAGCTGGCTGATTTTATTGCTTGTATAGTCACGCAAGTCCACTGTAACCATTACAATTCAGAACTACCAATAAAGACAAGACCTTGACCAGTAAGTTGTTAGGCCTCCATGTCAGACTGATGACTGCACATCAGTCTCCTTAAGTGCAACGCATTCTTCTAACAACATGAATTGTATTAACTGTCATATTTGTCTACTTCATACATGCTGGGACTTTTTGTACTAGGAAATTCTATCATGTAGTCATTTTTTAATGAGGTGACTTGGCAATAATAGGGGACTGGTTAACCATATCTGGGCTTTGTGCTTCTTTGAGTGCAGATAATTACTTATTTGTAGCACTAGTAGTTTGTTGCTAGTTTCATGGTTTTTCTGAAGAATGATGGGTCACTACTCTGTGTATGTGTATATTTCACTGCATATTTACAGCACTCCATTAAAGTCAGTTGTGGGGGTGCTTTGAGGAGAAAAAAAAGCTTCAAGTAGTCACTGGCAAAGGAATATAAACTACATTATTAAAATGTTACGGGGAGATGAAAAAAAAAATCAGAAAATTAGCTGCCAAATGCAGGGGGAAGGTGGAATGGAAGTTTGGTGAGTGAGAGAGCATCAACAAAGGATGCTGGGAGAATTCGTTCATAAAGCATGAGACAGGACCATGTCAGCGGCAGCCAAGATGTGGTCAACGTCCCTCGAAAGTTAACAAAGACATTCCACTCACTCGGGAGACCCCAACATTTAAGAGGTTACCCCCCCCAGGACCCTCAAACAAAAGCCAAGCTGTCAGAGCACCCTATTCAAAGCATCCAGCAAAGCCAGCCATGATAAAACAGAATCACTTATTAATAATGGATGGAGGATATGGTAAAGGGGTGGGGACGCAAACTGACAAGAAGCTTAGCAATTTAACAAGTAAAATTATTTGAGAAGCGGTTAGTGGTACCTACAGGGCAACATACCCAGCAAACAAGCCTACAGGAAGGCAGCTCTGGTCGACTAACCCCACTAACAGTCAGAACACAGGGCCGTGAGCGGTAACCCCAAGGCCACACCTCCCTGGCTGAACCCCTCAGCGGCTGAGGGAGGAAGATAAGCCCTCGCCTCCCATGCAATTCACAGCCCTGGAAAACCAACGGAGGGGCAGCAGTCAGTTTAAGCTCAACAACGAGTCGGGCCATTTTTGAGGGGTTCTTAAAATCACAGTCAGGTGATACGGATTGTCATCAATCTGCTTTTTAAAGAAAATGGTTTTTGGAGACAAATGACAACATAGATTATTTTAATATATCTTGTAGGATAACTTTACCTGCAGTTGGGGTTATTATGAAGCACATACACAGTTCATAATTGGGGTTAGAGCTCGAGTGAGCGTTTACAGAGTACTGGGATTCCTTCCATTCGGCCTTCACGTTATTCTCTTCTATGTGATTACCATGCTCACTCTAGGTCATCACTAACCCCACACCCTCTGGGGTTCCTGATTCCACTCATCCTTCCAGCCCCCTTTCCTAGTTGTTGTTGTTGTTGTGAAGTGCCGTCGAGTCATAGGCGACTCACAGAGACCCTATGAACCAAAGTCCTGGACACCTGTATAACTTATGTCTTTTTTTCCAGGTTCATAGGGTTTCCGGAGGCAAGCCATTTCAGAAGTGGATGCCACTCCTGCTTCCACGCTTGTTTTAATCGGGGAGCTCCACCAAACACTGTCCACCAAGGGTGACCATTCTCGCATTTGACACATCAGTGTCACAGTGTTCAGCTTCACAGCTTGGGAACGTGACTTCCTGTCCGCTAGGCCAACTGCTTGCACGCTTGAGCTCTCCCTCTCTCCTGTTGTTAAGTGCCGTCGAGTCGTAGGTGACTCATAGCGACCCTATGAACAAAAGTCCTGGACACCTGTGTGACTTTCGATCTTCTGAAGAGGTTCTGCAACAGATGCCATCATCCATTAGGTACAAGTAAAGCAATCGACTGCCTCCTAAAATAAATATGTATCTACTACAGGACTGTGAGAATTATCACCTTGAAAAATGGTATCACTCCATATAAAGAATTGTACGCAAATGCTCACCACAGCTTGCCTTCTGAGCGGCAGATGGGCCGACACCAAATGCCTACAAACAGGTGCATGGATGAACGAAGAGTGGTTCTATCCAAAGCGCATCTACGGTAGCGGGAAGGAGTTGTGTTGCTAACACAAAGGCACGTGGTTCAAATCCACCCGCGGCTCCACCGGAGATAGGTGGACGATCTCCTCATGTAATTTACTGCCTCTGAACACTCACCGGACGATCAGCTGAGTCAGTCACGACTCAACAGTATCCAACAAGGACAAATCACTCAGATGACCATCGCTGGGGAACGACATACCACAGAGTGAAGGAGACGGGAGAAAGCTGGGGAAGAGCCAGCAGGTGACGGCTACGCTGACCCCACCTGTCAGCCACTGTAGCAAAACACCCGGGTGTGGATCAGGTCTCTAATCTGTCAGAAAGGAATGAAGCTCTTTCTCACCCCTACCTGGGCTCTTCCTCTTGATTTCCTCCAGAAAGGAGGTAAGACTCGAAGTTCACCTCCGTGGACACCTTAGGCCGGTGACTGGCATGCACTGGTGATTAAGTGTTCATGGAAAATGGCTTCTGCCACATACACTGTTGTCGTTGTTGTTATTGTTAAGTGCCATCAAGTTGCAGGCGACTCAAAGCAACCCTAAGACTGAAAGACCTGGACACCTGTATAACTTTCGTCCTCTCTCCAGGTTCATTGAGTTTCCAGAGACAAGCCATTTCAGAAGTGCATGCCATTCCTGCTTCCAAGCTTGCTTTAATCGGGGAGCTCCACCAAACACTGTCCACCATGGGTAACCATTCTCGCATTTGACACATCAGTGTCACAGTGTTCAGCTTCACAGCCACCACGAGTTACCTCTGTACAGCAGGTGGACAGACCAGGGCTATATACCACCTAGAAAAATGTTTCACCAAAAACAATTAAAGGCAGGCCTGAGGGCCGCGAAGTAAAGACACCCACCTTTGGCTTGGGAGTAGGGCTTTCTGACCACTAGGCCAACTGATCTTTCTCTATGCTGTGGTTGTTGTTGTTAACATACGCTAGCAGTGACAAAAACCTGGCCAAGAGCGCCGGCCTGTTAGTGGGTGAAGGCAGCGGGGTCAGTTCAGGGAGCTCTGCCCCTGACAAGATCTTCTGAACAAAGGAGCACATTCCCTGCACACCTACGGCCCCTTTCCAAGGTGCTCCCTCTGGTGACTTACGAAGGCTTTGCAGTGGCTGAACGACTGCCCACACAGCCGGCACCGGTAGCGCCGTTCCCCGGTGTGAACTCTCCAGTGCTGCGTGAGGACGGAGCGGTTGCGGAAGGACTTGGCACACTCCACACACTGGTAGGGCCTTTCCCCCGTGTGAATCCTCTGGTGGTAGACAAGCAGGCATTTGTATCTGAAGGACTTTCCACACTCGCCACAGTCGTATGCACTGGCTGCGGCATGAATCCTCTGGTGCTGAAGGAGGCTGGTGCCCCGCGTGAAGGATTTTCCGCACTCACAGCACTCGTAGAGCAGGGTCCCGGAGTGAAGCGTCTTGTGTTTGCTGAGGTAAGCACAGTAGCTGGAGAAGGTCCCACACTCCCTGCACTTGTAAGGCCTCCCCCCTGCGTGGCTTCTCTGGTGCTTCTTAAGGTTGGAGCCCTGGGTAAAGACCTTGCCACATTCGCTGCACTCGTACGGCCTCTCTCCACTGTGGATCTTCCGGTGCTGAATGAAGGTTGATGAATCTCTGAAGGATTTCTCACACTCTTCACACTTGTACGGTCTCTCTCCGGTGTGAACTCTCTGATGGTAGACGAGCAGACATCTGTACCGAAAGGACTTTCCACACTCACTACACTCAAAAGGCCTTGCTCCAGGGTGAAGCCTCGGATACTGAACACGTCTGTACTTGTAGCTGACGTCTGTCCCGTACGTTTCAGCCTCATAATACCCCTCTCCAGTGTGGACGCTCTTCAGATGATCAAATGTGTGCGTGTGGCCAGATTTCCCAAGTTTATCCCAGTGGCCAAGTCTTTGTCTACTGTGAAAGGCTTCTTGACGCTCAGGGCTGTGGAGGGGCGTCTCACTCTTCAGGGTGGCCTGGTGAGGGAGAAGGCTTCTTCCCTTCTCAACTTCCCTGCAGGCAGAAGGCTGCCCTGACCCATGGAATCTGAAGCTCTTGATGAGAGAGGCTCTGTCCTCATCTTTTTTAAAGGGTTTCTCTTCACGGTGACACTCGTGGTGCTGGTGAAGGTTTGTTCTCATCCAGAAGCATCTCACACAAGCCCCGCTCAAGCGTGGGTTCTGCCCACGCTGTGCTGCTTGATCAAGCCGGCACAACATGTTTTTTAAGAACAGGACACCCACCTCCCAGGGATGAGAGCTGCAGGTGGATGAATCTGCCTGCGAGGTCCTGATCTCGGACGCGCCTTCTGCAGAAGCACTCTGCATCCAAGGTTCCTCTTCACCCTGTGCTGCGTCCCCAGGACCTGAAAGTACAGAAACACTGATGAATACAGGCTGACTCTGCTTGGAGGCTGACTCACCATCACAGATGTGTGCCAGGCAGGGGGAGGGAGCCCATGCAATGGTTCAGAGAATGAGGGCATCCTGGCCTTTGACGAATGGGCCAGTTTTACCACACTGGAACTCTGACATGACCAGGACAATAGGAGGGGACGTATTATAGTGAGCAGAGGCTGTGTCTCCAACTCAGTCATCTGTCAACAAGGAAGGATCACACACCTCCCGTGTGGAAGCTGGTTGCGCTCAGGCCCAGAAGAATCCAAGTGCTTCTGGAGATGCAGTGTTTTAAGGACATCATCTGAAGGTATGTTGACACCTCACGACACTAGCTGTGGGCCCGTGCTGGAGAACACAGCAGAGACAGCAATGGAGATCAAGGGTTGATGGATGGAAGACAAAGCAATAGACTCAACAAAACTGTCAAGAATGAGGGGGGAGCGCTGGTGGCCTGGTGGCAAGAAGCTGCACTGCAATCCCAAAGGTAAGCGGTTCAAATCCACCAGATGCTCTGCTGGAGAAGAAGGGACAATCTCCTCCTGTACCAGTCAGATCTGATCTGACAGTACACACACAAAAAATAATAAAGAATGAGGAAGAAAAGGTAGAAATACGACTTGGCCACTAGCATTGCCATCAAAGCCATGGCAGACACAGAGCTGGTTCCTATTATGAGGTGAACACAGCTCTGAGGTCCTACTTCCCTAAAATCTCACAAAAGCTCTCAACTAGGACTTGAAGCCATGCTTAAAGGCCAACCAGCTCTCTTTCTCGGGAAGCAAGTTAAGTGTACACTCCAACCACTCTCCTTAAAGGGTTCTCACGCTCCCAGTCACTATGCATCTGTCCAACTCACTGTGGACCAGGTCCTAAAGAAGCACGGACAGTCCCTGCACCCTGGAGCCTGGACAGTGATTCAAAACGCTCAATCTCCCGGAGCCCAGGAGACCGAGCTATGTCCCTGCCCTGCCTGCCACACGCAAGCACCTACAAGCCTCACTGGCTACCTGTCCTCAGGTGCAATGTTTTGAGCGGCCTGGCATGGTGTGTAGCATTCTCTCCAGGGAACTGTCAGTAGAATAAAGCACTTTCAGAGCTTCTGTCCCTTGATTTGCATCTGACTTTATGTGGTGTCCATCTCTTGATCTCCTGAGATTCCACCCTGCTAAATCTCAGCGGGTTGATCAAAACCTGGATATTCTGTCTAGCTGGGGGACACTCCCTCTTACACTGAGGTCTGTAACACTGAGGTCTGTAACTCTGTCCTGAGGTAAATGTTGACTGCACCAGCTAAATGAGAATCACAAGCTGAAACTGCCTTGGCCGGATCAGGTGGTTAATTTGTAGCAGTAACGGCTACTTGACTGATGGAAGGAAATAACTGCTTTGATTAAAGACTTCCTAAAGGGAGCGCTGGTGTCCTAGTGTAAGAAGCTGTGCTGCCATCCCCAAGGCTCACAGTTCAAATCCACCAGCTGCTCCATGGAAGAAGGACGGACAATCTCCTCCCGGGTGATTTACTCCCTGTGAAAACTCACTGGCCAACAACAAAGGCTGGAATTCGGGCCTGGCCCAAATCACCAGCTTTAGTTCCCCTGGGGCCATGGTCCACGCCTCTGTGCTTCTATAAAGTGGACTGCATTAGGGGCTCTAGGACGTCTCCCTCTCTGCGTGGGCGGGATTGCCTCCTGACCTGAGCCAGCTGTCTCCACCCTGCCTGGTAACCCGTCAACAGCTGCACAAGCGTCTGGAAGACCTTCCAGCAAACTGTCAAGCCCCTAAACGCTGACGGCAGTTTAGAACTTGGGAGGAGGAAAAAGGACAGTATATTGTAAAAATTATGGGCGTGGTGTGACAGATTGAAAGTTCAGGACCATTTTGGCCTCTGCATTTTTGTAGTTACTCTGGTACTGATTTTTATGGTGCTCAGAATTCTAAATAAAACACCTTACCATCTGAACTAAAACCTAAGGAACAAAACCAAGGTATATATAAACCAAGGAACAAAATGTGATTCAAAGTATAATTAAAACACCCTTTCCAATCGCTCCTGAACAGAGCTATGCCTCCTCTGAAGTCTACTCTCCGAAACAGTCCTAGTTTATCCCCAGTGCCAGTCCCAAGGCACACACAGGACAGGTGAGTGGCCAGCACTGCTGCACGATAATCCAGCACACACACCCACACACACGCCACCCTCAGTCTGTACCACAGGAGAGGACATAACCATCGCGAAAAGAAAACCTTCTGAAGGAGGGTACAGCAAGGACCAGGAACCCTGGTGGTGCAGCAGCAGCTGGAATCCCTCCGTCATCCTCTGGGAGACAGAAGTCGCAGGGGACTTCCCTAAGGCCTGAGTCTTGGAAACCCCATAGGCGGCTCCACTCTGTCTGCAGGGCCACCACGAGGAAGAAAAGACTTGAAGGCAGTGCAGGCTGGGTCCATGCTTGAGTCTCACAGGTAGACAGTGACCATGATAATGACAATTAATGAGAAAGCGAGAAGTGTGTGTTCCCGCAGGCAGACTGTGACGTCTGACTCCTGCCCCCTGCCCCAGTGTCTGGGCAGGGAGGGTGGGGCTACGTGGGGAGTGCCTGGCTCAAAAGAGTGGACGCGATCACCTGTGGTCCTCACAGAGCGCAGGAGCGTGGGGAGGCACGTTCGTTCTGGAGAAGGACAGAGCTGTCTCCGGGGAGAGGAGGAAAGGCAGAGACAAGGTTCTACCCAAGGGGGAACGAGGGTCTTACCCAGGGAGGCTACGATGGCAAAGTTCTCCAGCATCACGTTGCAAAACAGCAGCTTCTGGGCCTCATCAAGCAGCCCCCACTCCTCCTGGGAGAAGTCCACGGCCACGTCCTCAAAGGTCACAGCACCCTGCCACGACGGAAACGATACTTGTACTACAATTAGCTTCTTTCCTTGGGACCCACAGCTCATTCCTCATCTTCATCTCCTGCCCACCATGCACCCCCCAACTCGGAGGAGAAACCAGACTTCTGTGCCACTGATGCCCTCTCCCGCCCTGGGCCCGCTGACCGCGGTGTCAGTCACCAGCACCAACAGGCAAGCTGACAGGCAAGACACCAACTAATGCTTGTGTTGGGCATTCAGAGTTGCACACCTGTCAGACAGTTCTCCTGGATTCCCGAAAACAAAGACCCCTGACACACCAGATATGTATGGACTTCTCTTCGGCCTCAGTTCCCGCTGTACCAGGGCCGTGGACCCATCCGCTCATATCCATCTCCAGGCGCACAGCACAGTGGCCCACATCCTCTCCCAGGCCTCCCCCGGATTCCCTGACCCACATTACAAGCACCTCCGGACTGTCTCACGTGGTACTCTGCCACGGCACCCAGACAGTGCTTGGAAAATTCAAACACGATGGCGTTCTACTGAAGATTTCTGGGGCTCCTCTCCAACAGGCAGCCCCAAATCAGTCACAGAGGCCTCCAGGCCCTTGTTCTCTGCTCTAACCTCAGCCACTCAGACCTGCACGTCAATCTCACACGTCCTCTTCAACTTGTTTTTTTTAGGAAGCTAAAGAAGCTTTATTAAGGGGGTTCCCGGGGGGGATTCCTTGGTCTGCAGAGACACAGGCAGAGAGACAGACCAGGGCACACCACAGCCCTCTTCAGCTCATGACGCACCTGCACTTACACACGTCACAATCTTCTCTCTCTCCACCTAATCATCATTCAAAACAGTGACTCCTCCAAATGATCACCTCAGGTCCAGGGCAAATCCACCTCCAACTGAAACACCTCAGACCACATGAAGAGTCACATCAAAATCCCGGTCCGTGCACACAGCAGGGCGTGACCAGAGTAATGACGGCATTACGGCCTCGTGGTCACCCCGCGTTCATCAATTTTGTGACTCCACACCAATCTCATGTCCACTCCATCTCGTCTTCCACAACCTCCTACGGCCATTTCTCTTTGCCTGTGTGTGACCATCATCAACTCTGTGCCCAAGGAAAAGGCCCACTCCACACCCACCTCCATGTCAGCACTACCGCCTGGATCCCATCAAGGCCCATCCACTGGGCATTACCTTGGGAGATGGTTTCTCCTGAGCCAGAGTCATGCAGCCAGGCTGCCACTTCATTCCTCTACCTGTCTCTTTACAGAAATTACTTCTGTTCTTTCTGAATCTTTTTTTTTTTTAAATTGTACTTATTTGGTTGTTCAGATTATACACAGTTACATATACACCAATTCAACCGTTTCTACAATTCAGTGATTAAATTCTCTGAGTTGTGCAAGCATTCTCACCCTGCTATTCCAAACTGTTCCTGCTCCACGGACATAAATTCAGGGCCGCCTAAAGTTCCCATCTTTCAAAGTGTTGTCACTTTGATTCCACAGAGATGGCGTTTCCCCTCAAGATAAAGCAAAGTTATAAGATCTGAAAGGCTCCTAGCATGGATTTGAGTTGGAAAGACGATAGGATGTAATCTGAAATTTTATATACTTAAGTTATGATAACTGAGCTAGTCACTGAAAAGAATCCTTGTTCTCCTACCGTACCCTTTACGAACGTGTCAAATTTGATAATGGTTACCCATCGCGGACAGTGTTTGATGGAGCTCCCCGATTAAAATAAACTTGGAAGCAGGGGTGGCATCCACTTCCGAAATGGCTTGCCTTCGGAAACTCTATGAACATGGAGAAATGATGAAAGTTATACAAGTGTTCAGGTCTTTTGTTCATAGGGTCGCTATGAGTCATCTACGACTCAACAGCAGTTAACAACAACAACAAGAACAACTATTCCTAGAAATGGTTTTAAAAAGAGTATAATGCTCAACACAGATATTTTCACTAGTTAAGCTTAACTACTGTTAGGTTTTAAGATCCCAAGAGGTATTTTTTTATTTAAAGATTATTTCAATTAGTTCAATAGTTCCACAAGTCATCCAGGCTTGATGGTCCCATACATTCTGTCCTACATTTCCTCCCTTTTGATGCGGCTTATTCTGAAGAATCTGAGATTAAAATACTCAGCAAGAGTAACTGGGCTGCACCCAAGTCTTCTCTCATGGCAAAGGAGGCAGCTGTTTGTGGGCACAGTGAGAACACACTCCCTCTTCCTGATCTTGCGTTTCCTTCTGTGGCTCCAGGGAGAGAGAGATCGAGTCTGACGATCTTGGACGGCTGTGTGAGAGTGTTTAAGATACCAGGACTACACAATGAACTAGGAGGCAGCACAGAGGCACTAAACTCATGGACCTCCCATGAAACTTATAAAGCCAAGGTGCAAAATCCCACGCAGTGTTTGGTTACATATAAGCAGCTGCTATCATCCTCCTCCTCAGGTTGCTGTAAACATGTCCATCTCACCGCCTTTATCACTTCAGCTTTTTACTGGTAGACACTGACAGACAGGGAGCTCCAGTGGCATCGTCTGTCGGGAACCGTGCCGCTAACTCAAAGGCAGCTTCTCTCAGGTATCTGACTCCACCAGCAGCTTGGCAAGAGCAAGTCAGGCGATCTCCTTCCACGTGGGTGACAGAGAAACCTGCTGGCGGGTCCGCTAGGAGCTGTGTCCTACTCGACGGCAATGAAAACAGGAGTTCTAATAATTATACAGCTTTAGCCTTAATCATCTTGCTCAGAGCAAGGAGGACTTGAAGCCACTTGCTGCAGACGGTTAAACACTGCAGCCTCAATAGAGAACGTGACTCAACCTTGTTGTTGTTTGTTTTTAAGTGCCACCGAGTCGCAGGCGACTCAGAGCGACCCTATGAAGGAGAGTCCTTGACGCTTGGGTGCCTTTCATCCTCTCTCCAAGTTCATAGGGTTTCCGGAGGCAAGCTATTATGGAAGTGGATGCCATTCCTCCTTCCACGCTTGTTTAATAGGGGAGCTCCACCCCACTCTCAGTCCGCATTGGGTAGCCAACCATTAACACATTTGACACATCCGTGTCACAGTGTTCAGCCTCACAGCAACCACAAGTGACTGTGGGACGGCAACTTGTATACCAGGGCTATACGACCTAGAGGAATGTCTGAATGACTCAACCTAAGAAAACAAAAAAAACCCTGACACTGGACCGAAAGGCAATATCATGATAGAGAAAGGACTGAGACTGTCAATGATTTCATCTTACTAGTATCCAAAATCAATACTCTGGGAATCAGCAGTCAGGAGATCAGGGGACACATTGCAGTGGGAGAGTCTGTCGTCAGGCATCTCTTCAATTATTGAAGGTAATGATGTCACTCTGAGGACAAAATGATGTCAGTTTGCGCATGATTCCAGCCATGGTCTTTTCAGTTACTTGCTATGCATCTGAGAGACGGACAATGAATAAGGATGACAGAAGAAGAATCCATTCCTTTAAACCGTGGAGTTGGAGAAGGACGCTAAAGATCCCACCGACAGCCAAAAGAACAAACAAATATGTCTTAGAGAAGATGCGGCCACATGCTCCTTGGAGGCAAACAGGATGGATCTTCACCTCACATACTTTAGCACACTGCTAGGATAGTCTGTTCCTTGGAGAGGGACAGGATGCTTGGAAAGGTGGAGGGTCTGCAAAGGAGAGGAAGACCTTCATCCAAGTGGATTGACATGGTGATTGCAGCCACAGGACTGAGTGTGTCAGAGACTGAGAGAATGGAAAAGGATAGTATACTGCTCAGCCTGGTTGTTCACAAAGTTGCTATGAGCCATACTTAACTCAATGGCACCTAACAGCAGCCTTGTACATATGCCCTCATCACGGTAAAGTGAAATCCAGCCCTCCGTATGCAACAACCTTCGCTTTCTCCCTCTCCAACTCCCGATCATCACGAGTAAATCTGGTCTTTAAGCATTTGCCTTTTGCCTTTATGGGTGAGGCGATACAATATTTGGTTCCACGTTATTTCATTCCGCATAATGTCTTCAAGTTCCATCAAGCGAGGAGGCCTGGAAACAAGCGCTGCAGAAGATCAAGGACTATAGACTTCAATATGAATTACATCTCAACATCAAGAAAACAAAATTCCTCACCACTGGAACAATAGGCAACATCATGAAAGATGGAGAAATGATCGAAGTTGTCAACAATTTCATTTTACTTGGATCCCGTGGTGCCAAGCAGTCAAAAAGTCAAGAGAGAACAAGACATGCATTGCAAAGTGGACTGTGGGAGAGGAATGGAGAGATATGTGCAACAATAAATGAATTTTAAAAACCCAAGAACTGGGGGTTGGGGGAGTCCAGAGATGAGTCATTTTTCCCCTCCTGTTGACTGTGTTTGGCTGTTGCTACAGTGGTAGGGCTATCAGCAATACTAGGTAAGACTTGTCAAGATCCTGGCTCACCATCAATCTTGGACAAGAGCAACGGACTCACTTTCACATAAAATCTGCAAATACATCAACGAGATGTGTGCTTCGGGTTTGTGGATTTACTTTAGTGCCTTGCAATGAGGATTATACAGCGTGTGCCCTGAAATATCAGTAGCCGCTACTGGAAGCTTTGCATCACCATTTCTTGAGTGTTTTTAAGGAAAAACAAATTTTGGCTTTAATACTAACAACAACAACAACACTAATAATAATAGAGATGTATCACATTTGGAAAATCAATAACAATAATAATAATAATAATAATAATAATAATAATAATAGAGATGGATCACATTAGGAAAACCAGGTGCCAGATTAATAATAATAATAATAATAATAATAATACAGAAAGGTATCACACTGGGAAAAATCAGGTGTCAGGGTCCCCTTCAAAATATTGAAGAGCAATGATGCAATCCTGAAGACTAAGGAGCGCCTATCTGAAAGTCGTACAATGACTAAAGATGAGAGAAGAATTAGTGATGCTTTTGGGAGGTGGTGCTGGAGAATAGCACTGAATCTACCGCACAGATCGCCAGCAGAACCCACAGGTCTGAGACCAGGGCCGCGCAGGAGCTCCCACCTGAGGCGAGGAGGACTGGGAGAACAGGTAAGGGCAGAGGGGGGCCGAGGCCGCAGCCTTTACCTGGGGCAGGTCCTTCTGCGTGGCCGCCGCCATGGGCCGGAGCAGCCAGCGATCAGACAGCGGACCTGGGAAACGTCGTTCCAAGCCTGGGCCTCTCAAATGTCCAGGTGCATCGACTGACAGCGCCTCGTCTCACACCCGATCGATCAGTCCGCAATGAAGGACCAGAGGCTCCAAGCAGACAGGTAGGAACTTCCAAAATCAGCGCTAGCAGGAAGACAGCGGATGTCCCGCCCTGACGCGGCGCACGTGCCAGGAGACACCTCCTTTCCGGGAGCTTATTGGTTGGATTCTGCTGCCACTCCGCGCACAGCTTCCTGGGTAGTGTAGTTTTCACAGCTGTACTGGCCGTAATGGCAGTTTAAGGAAGAGCTGATGGTCTAGTGGTAAGAAGCTGCGCTGCAGTTCGAAAGATTCACAGTTCAAATACACAAGCGGGATACGGCTAGACGATTTACTGTTTCTGAAAACCCACTGGAGAGCCAGCTGTGGCTAAGCGGCACACAACGACAAGACCAATTTACAGGTGCATTAGATGCCATGGAGGTGACCCGACAAACCTCGGTCTCTTCTCCATCCATCATGATGCTGCCAATTGACCCAGTGCTGAGAATCTTTGTCTTCTTGATGTTGAGCTTCAATCCATATTGAAGGCTGCAGTCCTTGACCTCCAGCAAGCACTTCAGGTCCTCCTCAGTTTCAGCAAGCATGGTTGTTTCATCTGCATAAATGTAAGTTGTTAATGAGTCTTCCTCCAGTCCTGTTGCCACGTTCCTCCTCGTAGATCCCAGCCTCCAGGATGATGTGCTCTGCATATAGATTGAAAAGGTATGGAGATAGGACACATCCCTAGCATATGCCCTTCCCAATTTTGAACCTTGCGGTGTTTACTTTCTCTGTTCTGACAACTGCCTCCTGGTCCAAGTATACGTTTATGATAGACAAAAACAAAGATCAGATGCACAGGGCAATTCTGAAACCCTGAATCAAGAAGAAAAGAAGAAATACTCAAGCTTCAACGGAATAAAGAAATTTAATGAAAATACAAAATCAAGAGACTGAGGGCAGAGGTGGTTAGCAGCTCAGCACGGTCATTTCGAGCGGTGGTTTGACCAGCCGGGGAACGTGGGGCCACCAAAGCCACACCAACAGCTGACTGGTGACAAGAAAGCTGTGATCCACGCCTTTGTTCAGCGTCCCTCGCAGGGATCAGGAGAGTGACTTTTCCACCACCACCCACCGGGTGGACGGCAGCGTTCCCCTGTCCATCCAGCCCTACTCATTGCCAGGCCCACACCGTTCTGTATCTGGCAGCATGATACACGCGGAGGCTCCCTGTAGAATCCCACGCACCATGCCGACCCTGGACTGTAACCACACACTGAATTAGTGGGGGCACCGCCTCTGACTGGGCTCCTTGCCTCCCACTGGGCACGCTGGAATAATTCACAGGCCATGGAGCGTGCCATCTTTGGGCATCTGGGGTTGCCAGCCATTGTCTCTTCATACGAATCATTTCTGCCTGGGAATCCTGGACCGGCAAGGACACATCGCCAGGCATGTAGACCAACTTAGATTCTTGTGAGGCCAGCAGAAACACCACCTCAGGCTTGGGGTCCTGCACCTTGGCAACCTCTAGATCAAAAGAGGTGCTGCGTTACACCTTTGGAACCTCAGTGACCTCTCAAGTGAGCAGAAACTCCAACCCAATGGGCACCATAACTCCAAACTTCCACTGGATGGACGGACCGACTGTCCCATACCAGACAGCCTGACTCCATCCACAGAGCACTCGGTCCAGACAGGAGCACCTAGCGGATACCAGCCCACTCTCCTCCCAAGTCTCTCCCCTCTCCCTCCTTTTCTTTCCCGTCACTTTCGGGGGGGTGTTTGCTTATTTTTGTCTTTTTTGTCATTATGAGAGTCATGGCTCTTGGGGGTGTTTATTTTTATTTCTTCATTCTCCTGTTTTTTCTTTCTAGCCTTTTTATCTTCCCTCAATGGGCTTCTCTCTCTTCTCTTTATCTTCTTCATTCTTACACTCCCTCTTTTTTGCCTTTCTATTTTGACATTTCTTCCTTTTTCACCCCCTCAGCTTTTGTTTTTTCTATTTTATTGTAGTGTTCTGTCTTGGCTTGCGTGGTTTTTCTTTTTTCATTACTTTTGGTGTTTTATCTTGTTTCCCTTTTCCCTTCTCCCATCTGAGAACGGACAAAACAGTGTCTAGACCTGCGTGTCCCTCCTGAAGCGTCAGCCTTCGGGCGAGAATGAAGCCCAGCTCCTGCTCCACCAGACCGAGAGAAGACTGACCATAACCAACACAAGCCAAGCTGCCCTCAGCACAAACAGCCGTCAGAGACATGTGTGCAGACCTCCATGCCCCATAAGACCCACCAGAAGACAGGAGGTGAAACACTACCAACTGCCCACTCAGCCGTGTGTCATGCTCACAGGACGTAGTCAGATCCAGCAAAACAAGAGAGCACTGTCTCAGAGGCAACAAAGAACTTTAAATCAGGATAAGATGGCACAAAAAAGTGACAAAAATAAACAAAGAACCAGATAGTTTTTCAGAGGAAGAAATGCTTTTGGAACTTCCTAAGAAGGATTGCAAAAGAGTGATAGTCAAGTATGGATTGAGGAAAACACAAGAAACGTGGAAGCATTTAAAAAAAAACAACTAACTAACTAAATGTGCAAGACTAAATAGTCAAAATAAACGTAAAATTAGAAGGAATACAAAACAAAACCTTGACATTATTAATATAATAAGACTAAAAGTTCAGAAATGTGCAATACATCAGAAGGAAGAAATGGGACATAGTCTTAGGGAGAAAGAAGATAAATTCCTCCATCAATACAGATTTTTTAAAAGGAACAATCAGGGAAAGGGAGGAAAGAAAATGAGGATGAAAGCATAAGAATTATGTCGGACAAAGTCAAGAAGAACAAGTTACGTGAGACTGGGATCCCAGAACAAGAAGAGACCAAATAAACCAGAGAAGAAAACATTGAAAATTTGCTGAAAGAAACCGTCACCTTATCAGAGCCTGAGAAAGAATTCTGTCAGTCTGGTGGAGCAAGAGCTGGGCTTCACTCTCGTGCTTTATCTTACAGAAGAAGAAACTAACTAAGAAGGTCATAAAGATATTCTCTGTCTCTTTCTCTCTGTCTCTCTCTCTCTCTGTCTCTCTCTCTCTCTGTCTCTCTCTCTCTCTCTCTCTCTGTCTCTATGTCTCTCTCACACACACACGAAAAGACCTGGACCAGATGGCTTCAGAGCTGAATTCTTCCAATATTCAGAGAAGATCTAGCACCAATTCTACTTAACTTACTTTAAAAAATGGGAAAGTAAGAAATACTCCCAAAGACATTCTATGAAGCAGGCATAACCATAACACCAAAACCAAGCAAAGCTATTACATTTAAAAAACAAAACCAAACTATAGAACACTATCTCTCATAAACATAGATGCAAAAATCCTTAACAAAGTCCTAGCCAATAGAATCCAACATCATACAAAAAAAATGCATCATCATCAAGTGGGATTCATAACAGATATGAAAGGACAGTTCAACACAAGAAAAACAGTGTAATTCACCACATTAAAAAAGCAAATAACAAGAACCTTACGATCCTTGCAATTGATGCTGAGGAGGAATTTGGCACAAAATCCAATACCCGTTACTGTTTGAGAGCATCAGCAAAATAGGAATAGAAGGGAACTTCCACAATATAGTAAAAAAGTCTTTTCCTCCACAGCCTTCAGTATGGATTGATGCTCAATGTCAAGAAGACAAAATTCCCACCACTGGGCCAACTGGCAGCATCAGGATGGATGGTGAAGAAATTGAGATGGTTCACAGCTTTAGTGTGCTTGGCTCCACAGTCAACACTCTTGGCACCAGCAGCCAGGAAATTAAAAGATGCATTGCAATGGGAAAGTCTGCTGTTAGGGACTGCTCCAACATACTGAAGACCAATGGTGTTACTCTGGAGACTAAGGTGTGCCTGATACAGGCCATGGTCTTTGCTATCACTTGCTATGTGTCAGAGAGTTGGACAATGACTAGGGAGACTAGAAGGAGAATTCATGCCTTTGAGCTGTGGTGTTGGTGAAGAATACTGAATATACCATGGACCACTAAGAAAACGAACAGGTTAATCCTAGAGAGGATTAAACCAGGCTGCTCTTTGGAGGCAACGATTCTAAAGCTTCATCTGACATACTTTGGACATGTTGCAAAGAGGGACTGCTCCTTGGAGAGGAACATCATGCTTGGGAGGGTGGAGGTACAGTGCAGGAGAGGAAGACCCTCTATGAGGTGGATTGATTCAGTGACTGGAGTAGTGGGGGTAGGTGTGCCGGAGACAGTGAGATTGGCACAGGGTAGAGCAGGGTTTAGGGCTGTTGTACACAGGGTCGCTATGAGTCTCAGGTGACTCGTTGGCACATAACAACAACAACAGTAAAAAGTATATATGCAAACCCAGAGCCAATACAATTCTCAATGGAGAAAGACTAAAGGCATTTTCCTCGTGAACAGGGACCAGGCAAGGAAGCCTGCCATTAGCCCTTCTACTTAATATTATATTGGAAGTACTTTCTAGGGCAATACAACAAGAAGGAAATAAAGGCATACAGATTGGCAAAGTAATGGTTAAACTATTATTGCATGCAGATTATATGAGAATATATACAGAAAACCCCAAAGACTTAACAACAACAACAATCTACTAAAGTTAGTGCACCAGTTAGCTAGAGTGGCAGGATACAAGAACAATATCCAGAAATCAGTGGGATTCCTCTACAATGACCAAGAGACTCAGAGAAGAAAATAATACCATTTACAATATTATTGTTATTACGTGCCATCTAAGTCTCCTGTGACTGATAGTGACCCAGTGTACAACAGCTCTGAACCCTGCTCTACCTTGAGCCAATTTCATTGTCTCTGACACATCTACCCCCATTATCTCACTTATTGAGTTATTCCATCTTAGTCAGGGTATTTCTCTCTTGTGCTGTCCCTTCCCACCCTTCCAAGCATGATGCCCTTCTCCAAGAAATGGTCTCTCCTTGCAACTCGCCCAAAGTATTCTGCTACTAACCTGAATTATACCCATTTGACTTCCCTAATATGGTTTTGTGCAGTCCATGACCTATCACAGTGGATTTTGAACCCAGTTGAGCAGTACGATTGGTGTTGGGGTGAGTAAAAAGAGGTGCTGGTATTGGGGGGGGCATGTTTGACCTCATGGAAATTGGTTTCGTGTTAAAGATGTTGTTGATGGGGAAAGTTCTCCTATGTGAAGCTGATAGAGGTCAAAGATGGCCGTCTCCACACTGCCCTGGGCATGGTGTCAGAAAGGGCTAGTCCTTGGAAAAAATAATAATGCTTGGAAAAGAAAGAAGGTCCAACAGCAAAAGAGAAGATGATGTTTAATGGGGTGGACTGACTGTAACAGGGATTCAGGATGGTAGAACGAGGAGAGCGTAGGCATGGGCTGGATGTCGTTCTGTTGTATACAGAGACACTGTGAGTTAGGCGTTCCCTTGTACGTAGAGTCACCATGAGTTACGTGTCCCATTGCACTGACACTGTGAATTAGATGTTCTGTTGTATAGTCACCATGAATGACATATTCCGTTGTACACAGAGTCACCATGAGTGAAATGATCCATTGTAAACAGAGTCACCGTGAGTTAGATATTCCGTTGTACACAGAGTCACCATAAATGAGATATTCCATTGTAAATAGAGTCTCTGTGAGTTGGATGTTCCGTTGTACAGAGTCACTGTAAGTTGGATGTTCTGTTGTAAACAGAATCACTGAGTTTGAGCCAATTTGATGACACCTACCAACAACTGGGTGAAGTCCTATTTTCTTCATTTGATACCAGATATATAAAGGCATGGATGAGTGTCTTAATCTGATGCCGTATTTATTGTGACCTCTCCTGTTTCTTTATTTAAAAAAGGTAAGAGATACTCTATTGGCTTTTACAGATGTCACTGGTCTCTAGAAAGGTGTTTCTTAAGGGAGCTCTGGTGGCCTAGTGGCAAGACGCTGCACTGCAATCTCAGAGGTACACGGTTCAAATCCACCAGATGCTCTGCTGGAGAAGGAGGGGGCAATCTCCTCCTGTACCAGTCAGATCTGATTTGACGGTACACGTAAAAATAATATAAAAAAAATTTAAAAAATTAATAAAAAGAAGAAAGGTGTTTCTTTACTGTGCTCTGGGATACTACCCAAATAATTACATGCATTGCTGGGCAGAAGGAAGAAGATAAAAACAACCTAAACAGTGCCTCTTTGCCTCTTTCACCATTATGGAGTTGGAATTCTCTCTTTTCTAATTAAATGACAAGTTTTCATGAACTAGAAGAGCTAAGAAGCAATAATTGCCGTAGAACAGTCATTTATTTATTTTCTATTCCAAACTTCTGGTTGTCTTGCTTTAGAGCGCCCTTCTGCTGGGTCCTTGGAGGGCAAGTCATGCTTGAGTTCTCAGCCATGTGGAGTTCTCAGCCGGGTGTGAGCTCCACAGTCGGTCTCTCCACCCATCAAGCATTTCTGTGTCACTTTTATTTACTCACACAAATGACCAGTTGTGTCTGCTGTTTGTCACCGGAGAGTTGCCTCTCCTTGACTTTGTGTTGCTTTCTGTTCAGCCTCTTCTTTGCCATCATTTTCCTCCTTTTCGACTTAATAACTGGAATGTAAGACACAATATTCTTGAGATATTTAGAAACAAGGAGCAGACATGCAACTAGAAGTGAGGGTATGGGAAAAATGAAGGTGTAATAGTGACATTTACCAGGCATAATGAATGCTAGTCATGTGACAAGGATAGGAAAAAGCTCATGTTAAAATTATCTTCCCACTTTCTTATGCAAACCTCCTAAATATTTTACTCTGAGGTCACATTTATCTTTAAATTTTCAGTTTCTTCATAAGAAAAATGGATAAAAGCACATTAATGTAGAAAAGGGATAAGCTGACGGCTTTGGCAGTGCAGTGCAGCGTCTTAGCCCTTCTTACAGCCAGAGCTCCCTCCGAGCGGCCTTGTTACTGCTCTGTGTCAAGTCATCTGCGACTCATAGCGACCCTGTGTACAACAGCCCTAAACCCTGCTCTACCCTGTGCCAATCTTACCGTCTCCAACACGCCTATCCGCATTACCCCAGTGACGGAATCAATCCACCTCATCGAGGGTCTTCCTCTCCTGCACAGTCCCTCCACCCTCCCAAGCATGATGTCCTTCTCCAAGGACCCGTCCCTCCTTGCAACATGTCCAAATTATGTCAGGCAAAGCTTCAGAATCCTTGCCTCCGAGGAGCAGCCTGGCTTCACCGTCTCTAGGACGAACCTGTTTGTCCTCCTAGATGCCCATGATATATTCGACACTCTCCTCCAGCACCACAGCTCAAAGGCATCAATTCTCCTTCTGTCACCCCTAGTCAATGTCCAGTTCTCTAATGCATAGCAAGCAAAGGTCTAGCGGCCTAGCAGTTAGGAATTGCACTGTCCACCCAAAGGAATGCAATTTGAAACCACCAGCTGCTCCACGGGAGAACGCTGGGCAATCTCCTCCCATGTGATTAACCGCCTCTCGAAATCTACTGGTCGATGTTGTTGTTGTTGATTGCCTTCAAGTCGAGCACAACTCATAGCGACCCCATGGACAAAAGGCCTGAAGCCCATCTACAACTACTGACATATATCAAAGTCCATAGAGTTTCCAAAGGCAAGTTGTTTAGGAAGTGGATGCCACACCTGCTTCCCAACCTGTCATAGTATGTTACCGTTGTTCTGGGCCACTGAATCACCTGCGATGTATAGTAACTCTGCGTACAGTAGATCTGAACCCTTCTCTGCTCTGAGCCAGTCTCACTAATTCACTCTACAAGCAAAGTAATTCAAACACAACCAAGAATTTCATTTATTGCAACAATAAACACCAGCAATTCCGGATGAAAAAAAAAAAAGAATTTCATTTATCATTCTAAACTGCATTAATTATGCTAAAAAAAAGTTTCAGGACATGATCCATTCTCTGACTCATTAATATTACTTTTAAGAATGTTTCCTTCTTAATTAGTCTAATATAGAAGCCAAAAGTCAGTTAGCTAGCTCACAAAATTTAAAGCACGGGGGGAGGGACTGTATAACAATCAAAGAATTTCTCTTTTACTTTTCAAAGAGATGAGCGAACTGGGGGGAAGGGGTGGGTAAGGAGAAAAGTGCAACAATGAGTAAATGGAAATCCAAAGTCTCTGCAAACTTTCTTTAAAATTAATAATAATAAAAAAAGGAAAAAT